ACATTTTTCAGTCTTCCAATAGATACATTGGTTAGATTAACATGGATATTGTTGGTGTCCGAGTCAGAATCTATGTTAACGGGTTTATAAGACATGATAGTTATGTATTGTTAAATGAGTTATATACTTGATGATTTCTTTTCTATGACCTAATGTACATTACTTTAAATTTTGAAGAAGCAGTTCTAGTTCTTCATATGAACATATCATGCTGGTTCTTAGATATTGTAAAGTGCAATGAAACTGTGAAACCCGAAGGCACTGCAAGCTTTTATTCTTGAGTTCACGAAACTTATTATTTCCCTGTTTTTGAGTCTTGTCTTTGTATGAGAAATTAACACAACCTTTGTATTCTCACTCCTTTTATTTTCTTTCTTTCATTCCCAGCTTCTAGTATCATTTGTTAAGAGTCATAAAAAATACATGAACAGATTCAATAGGCCAGAGCTATATGTGCAATTCTATTTGATTCAATTGGACTGTCAAATCTCGTTTATGTTTCCCATCTCCACACAGAGAGTAGTATACTCAGTTTTGAGTTAAATATGTGCTTGAAATGGAATATACAGATAGGCAATAAGTATTTTAATAAGGGGAAAGTAATTTTAGTTTTTCTTTTATATTAACAAGTAATTTTTTTTCTTATTCAATTCTGTAACAGGTCAAGGATGAGAAGATGCAATTCTTGCTGTAGATATGAATTCTTCCTTGAATTGCACACCTTTTTTTGTTTTTCTTTTTGTTAAGACATTGTATACATCTATTTTTCTAGTCAATATAGTATGAATACTGAATAATGGAAGATAGGTCTTGTATTGTTTCATGAATTTGGTTCAATTTTTAATAATGATTATTTATTTTTTATCATTACGAAATGTTGTGTTTAATTGTTTCTTTTATGAAGTTTATTTGTTCTTTTTAATTGCACAATATTAAAATATTGAAAAAACTAAAATAGTATAAAACTACTACAATTGCATTGTGTAAATGTTATCAATAAAAAGATGATAACATTTAATTAATGTTATCTTTAACAATTCAGTAGCGTTCGTAAAGTGCTATAGTAGATTAATAATGGCTTGAAAAACGCTATTGTAGCCATATAATAGCGTTTTATATATGTTGTAAAAAAATAAATACGATAGCACCTTACAAAACGCTATGTGAAATACAAGATATAATGGCGTTTGAAAAACGCTATGAAAGAACTGACACCTATTATAGCTCCGGCAGACATAGCGTTTGTAAAAACGCTATGAAATCCTATAATAACGTTTTTCAAACGCTATGGATAACTATTTTTGTTGTAGTGCAGGTCGGTTCAGCTATGTATGGTAAGATTTTAGGCTTAGTGTATTGTTAACTGTATATTTTTACACTTAAATTATATCTTTTAATTAGAGTTTTTGGTGTATTTTATTGATATTTGGTGCTTATTACTTTGATTTATTTTGTTTTAGGCACAAAGTGAAGAATTTAATAAATTGAGGGTCAAACTACAATTTAGAAGAAAAGGTGAATAAAATTGGAGAAGTCAACGTCAGTAGGACCGATTTAGATCTCAGATGGCCGTCCGAGAAATACACTAGAAATTGAGACGGCCGTCAAAATCAAGAAAGAGGAAGAGAAAGCCACGGCATTTCGGACGGCCATCCAAAATAGAAGCTGAAGTTCCTGACGGTCGTCTAAACAGATGAAGCTGCGCAGTAAGGACGAACTTCTAATTGTACAAGGAAACTACATTTTCACACCTTATAAAAGACCATCTCAAGCACGAAATTAAGAGTCCTCTTTTTACACAATTTTGAGAGCAAATAAGCAATAAAGAAGACGAAGAATTTGAAGACTTCAAGCATAGATTTTATCTTCCGTCTGAAATATTACTTCCCGACCCAACCAGTAATATTATTGCATGAGACAGTAATATTATGGTTGAAGACAGCAAATTGCAGGCGAAACGATAAAATTAATTAATACAATAAAATTACTGTCTCAGACAGTTAAATTACTGTTTCCAACAGTTAAATTTTTGTTGGTGACAGTAACTTAGCAAACATCCAAGCCAGTAATATTTATTTAATTAATGTTTTTTTTAAGAAAAAACAAAATTTCAATAAAAAATGTCAATTAACAGTTAAATTACTATCGGATTTTTTCGAAGACAGTTGAGGGATTTAGGTGAAGATATGGAGAAGAGAGAAGATAAAAGTGATAGAGGTAGAGGCTAATAATTATGATTTATGAGAGGGTATTTTTGTTTTCTCAAACTAGTCCATAAGGATCTCATTAATTTAATTAGAAATTTGAGTGTAGACAATAGTCTTTGAATTTAATTGAGTTTATTTCAAAATATTCCTCATTTACAAGGGTATTGCATATTTCCGCTTTCGTATCTCAATTCTTATTTTAAATACAAGAAAATTCATAAAAAGACATGTGAAAAGAGTTCAAAACAAAGCACATTACAATTTAAATATATAAATATAATCGTGAGTTAATATAGGTTTTTTGGCACTCTGCACCATTGAATTACACCATTTTGGACTTTGCATCTTTAAATTGCAAAATTGGCAGATTGTACATTTTAAACATAAATTGTTTGGCACTTTGCACCCCAAATCATTTTTGGCTTAGAAAACTTACCTACAACTTGTTGGGAAACCTGGAAGATGGGTAAATTCATAATTTTCTTATGATTTATCCTCTTCCCCCAATTGTTAATCACCCTTCCAACATTTTTATCTTTCATCTCTTTAATAAAAAAATCATAAAATCTTTTTAGCCATTTCTTTCAGTAATAAATCAATATAAGCACTAAACAATAATAGTAAATCACTTTTTTTTTTTCTTTTGAGTTTGAAAAATAATATAACTTGAAATTTTAGGCCCAGCCTTCAATTTTTTTTTTTAATAGTCAAATGACAAAATAATGTTACTAGAAGGTTTATTTGGTGGCATAGAGGTCGTGCCTATTAATTTCATGATGGGAGGAATTTTGTGCTCCCATTGAATTAGATGTGAGCAAAAAAATCGAGAAACCGAAAAACCGAACCGAAAATCGAAAAAACCGAGCCGATATATACCGTCCCGACTTAAAACCGCATATATGGTAATTTTTTTATGAAAAACCAAAAATATCGGTTTGTGTATGGAGAATAAAAAAATTAGCGAACCAATTTCCTGAACCGAACCGATTTATACAAAATGATGTCTTTTCGATATATATATATAGTATAAATACTTACCATAGAGTGCCTTTATCTTTCGAGCGCCTCTGACATGTTTTTCTATTAATTAATTTTGGTTGTGACGTGGTTTTTATTAGTTAATTTTCGGTTGTTATTTGTTAATTTTCTCAAATAAATATAATGAAAGTCCAAATATATCGGTTTTATGCCGAACCGATTCGAACAAATAGACGAAGTCGAAACAAAAAATAAACCGAATTGATACCGAAATCGTTAACCGAAAAACCGAAAAACCGATTAACACCGAACCGAAAAAAACCGACATATTCAATTTTTAAAATATAAAAAATCGATATTATCGATACGTGTTTGGTTTATTGGAAAAACCGAGCCGTACCGACCCGTGCACACCCCTACATTGAATAGTCTGAATCTGAAAAATGATTAAAAAAATAGCATTCCAATGGAATAAAACTTGATCTTATAAAGGTGTGTTATCGGACTCTTGTTTATATATTCCGACCATTCTTGATTTTTAGTTCAAAATTTACATATTAGGGCAAATAGAAATGGCTAAGAAGAATTTATGAATTTTTGATTAAAATGACGAAAGATAAAATGGTGGAACGATGATTAAGAATTCGGGCAAGATGGATAGGTAATTAGAGAATTACAAGTTTGTCCATCTTTCAGGTTTTCAACTAGTTGGTAATTTTTCTAAGCAAAACATGACTAATGTCTAATATGACTATACGTGACTATATCAACTGTAGTCGTATTCTTTCTTTATATTGCTATTGTTTTTTTTTACATTTTTAACTTAAATATTCCGATTATATAGTGTAATACAATCATGTTTACCAAATTATATAAAAAAACGGAGACTGCCTATTATTTATTAAAATAATCTAATCAACATCCACACAAAAAAATACAATTTGAATCTTGTTGTTACAAGTCAACTTTAAACGAGAAGATAAGACATATTCGAATATGACTACAATCATATTCAACAATAGTCATATTCGAATATGACTATTGTCATGTTACTTTGCTGCTCAAATCTGAAATGAATGTTCAGGTCTGGAGAAAAAAAAAAAAGAAATCGAAACAACAGAAATAGAGATAGAAAGATAACGAAAGAGAGGCAGGGGGAGTCGACGGCAACGGCGGTGAACGAAAGAGAGAGTGAGGGGTTTACAGATTCGGGAAAAAAAGATAGAAATCGAGAGATAATGAAGAAGAGAGAACGGCGGCGTTGGTGGTGGTGTACAGATCTGGAAAAGAAAAAAGAGATATCGAACAAGAGGGAAGAGATTTATGTGGAGACGAAGGAGGCGACAACGGCGGCGGGGGTAGCGATGGTGGAGGAAGGTCGGATTTTTCGGAGAGAGTAGAGTGATTTAGGTGGAGAGGTGAAAAGAGATGAGATGAAAGATGAAAGTAATAGAGGTGAAGAAAAATAATTACAATTTACGATTATAGTAGTTGATGATAATTTTGTCTTCTCACACTATTCCAGGAGGGTCTCACTAACTTAGAATGATATTAAATGTAGGCAAAAGTTCTTAAAGTCAATTGAGTTTATTTCAAAATATTTTTCATGAGAGGTATTGAATATTTTCCCTTTGATATATCAATTCTTATTTTAAATCCAAGAAAAATCATAAAAAAAATTAAATCAGAAACTAGAATGGAACATGTGAAAAGAGTTCAAACAAAACACATAACAATTAAAATATATAAATATAATCATAAGTTAATCTATGTTTGAAAACTTAATCGAAACAAACTAAGGAAAAATAGGCGTCAAATACGAATGGTAAATTTGATTCCCATCACTCTTCATCATTTCCTAAAATAGAAACAGTTGAAAAAAGAACGCTTCTCTCTCTCTCTCTCTCTCTCTCTCTCTCTCTCTCTCTCTCTCTAGGTCTATAAAAACAATGCAGAGTAATCATCAATCCTTCATCCCCACCAAATTATTTATTATCAGAGGCTAATTAGTAATAAAAAGCCTCTGATATAATAATAATTTTATATTAATTTCATCCTCTGTGTGTGGTGGGGGGAAGGGAAACAAAAACAACAATGTCTTCCCTTGTTTGGTTGTTGCTTTTGGCCCACGCCACCTTGGCGTTGAGCACCGACGAGAATCTCTCCGACGAGTTCAAAAGCATATTCATACTCGCCGGACAAAGCAACATGGCCGGACGAGCGGGCGTTATATCCGGCAAATTTACCGGGGAAATGCCGCCTGCATGCGCACCCAGCCCATTCATCCTGCGGCTGAACCCTAACCTCACGTGGGAAGAGGCACGTGACCCTCTCCACGAGGGTATCGATATCAATAAAACATGCGGGATTGGGCCCGGGATGCCGTTTGCTAATTCGGTTATGGAGAGGGACTCGAGCATTGGGGTTATCGGTTTGGTGCCGTGTGCCGCTGGAGGAACCAACATTGAGCAGTGGAGCCGCGGCGGCGAGAGGCTCTACAATCAGCTGATCCAGAGAGCTCAGGCGGCGATGCGCGGCGGAGGAGGAGTAATTCGGGCTCTTTTGTGGTACCAAGGTGAGGCTGACGCGGATGATGCCGGCCGTGCGAAGAATTATAAGTGGAAATTGGAAAAATTCTTCACCGATGTTAGATCGGATTTGCAGTTGCCTCAGCTACCTATAATCCAGGTATATATATATATTTTTTTTTTAATTCTTGGAGATTTTATAAATATTAAATCATATATATACTCACCTCATTTTAATAGATGAAGTGATGATTCCATATCCAACATGCATGAATGATTATGAGTCGACCCGAAAAGCTCCAATTTTGGAACAATTTTTTCGTATCAATTTCAAACTTTTGATTTACAATTTATCCGATTTTCGATTTTATCCGAAATTTTAGAGTCGAGATGGATTTCCAGATTCAGAAAATTTTGGAAGTAGCTTTATAATAATAAAAAAAAAGTTAGATATTTTTTAAACAGTTAATTTGATCCATTTCTTGCGACTGTACACGGAGAGACGTATTCGAAGACATATATTAAGTATCAAACGATTAATTAGAATTTGGTCGGAGCTAGCGTGGATCATACATGGGCCACTATTTAGAGTCAACGACACTCACTGGGTCCCACATTCGAGATCCCTTGGGAACCGGATCAAGACCCCTGCGAAACAACTTGAATCTCACTAACAATATAATTTATGTTTTTAGATGAAGTGGTCATTTAACATGGATCAGAGATTCAGAACAGTCTTATTGTATCCAGTTAAAAAAAATCCCACGTGCAATGTTTAAAAGTATTAAAAAAAATCCCACATGCTATGATTTAATTGTTTTGTTTTCTTCTTCTTTTGTGGTGTGTAGGTGGCTTTGGCATCATCAAAACCAGGAAAATATGTGGATGAAATAAGAAAAGTTCAGCTTGGAATTAATCTTACAAATGTGATATGTGTTGATGCATGGGGATTCCCTCTCACGGGCGATAAGTTGCATCTTAATACCGACGGCGAAATCCAGGTTGGCCGCTTGATGGCCGACGCCTTCCTCAAGCTTAAAATAACCCCTCAACCTCTTCCGATCGGACAAACTTATGCATGATTACATATTTTGATGTATCTTGTTCGACATATATAAACAAAATTTGGTTCTCGCCCAATCAAATTCATTTTTTTTTTTTGTGAATTAATATATACATAAGAGACCAATATAATCTACAATCAACACATATTTCACAGATCATATATAGAGCGTAAACTAATGTTGCACACGCATAAAAACGGCTAATGTTGGGATCGACTCAGAAATCAATTTCTTTGTCGCCTAGTGTTGAACTTAATTATGATATATTAATCTGAAAAAATGCAGATTAAGGCCATTGGAGAGAACTTCATATGTTTGGAGGCATTTGGTATCATCTTTGTATCTAGATAGGCAACATAAAGTATGAAAGAGAGAATATAGCTAGAATAGTTAATACTTAGACTACAAGTAAAATATATATAGCCTCTCTCAAAGTGTGGGTTGCCTAACGAAATCATACGTGTGCCCATCACTATCGTAACTGACGGATTAACGGAAAAGTGACGAAAATGACCAAAAGTGTCAAATCATTGAAATATGAGGGACCAAATGTGTTTTTTGTAAATATGAAGGACCAAATGTGAAATCGTTTCAAACTTGATGAATGAAAACTGTAAATTCCCTATATTAACTATTCCAATTTCATATACAGATAAGGAAGAATCGAAGATTCTCCATGATTCTAAACAAAATCAATTTGGATCCTTAATATCCCATTGATTTAATTGTAGATATACGTATATATTTTTTTTCCTATTTTGTAGAATATCACTCTTTTGTAATTATTCTATATATTGAAATCATCTCCCCATTTACTGATAAGGAGATTTCCAGCCACATCTTATTGTATCCCTTATCACCCCCTGCAAGGTGAGCGTGGCTGAAGGTAGAACGTTGAGCTTGCCGCGAAAGAGAATGAATTGCGGCTTGGAAACGCCTTTGGTGAAGGAGTCAACAAGTTGCGAATGTGAGGGAACGAAGTTAATTTTCAGAGTGCCACTAGCAACAAGTTCCCGTACAAAGTGATAATCGATAGCAATATGTTCCGATCGAGGCCGAGTAATTGGATTGACTGCCATAAAGATTGCACTTTGATTGTCACAAAGAAGTTTAGGTGGCGCTGCGAGTGTAACACGAAGATCCCGAAGTAATTGAGTAACCCAAACAATATCGGCAGCGACGACAGCCAATGAACGATATTGAGCTTCGACACTTGAACGAGAGACAATATTTTGTTTCTTAGAGGACCAAGATATTAGATTAGCACCAAAAAAGATAGCATAACCCATCGTTGATCGCCGTGTATCGGGACATCCAGCCCAATCCGCATCAGAGTAGGCAACAAGCTCTCGAGTGGATTGTTTATGAAGTTGAAGTCCATGAAAAGGAGTGCCTTTGACATAACATAAGATACGTTTAAGAGCACGAAAGTGGTCCTCGGTAGGTGCATGCATGAATTGACATATGGAATTCACACTAAAAGAGAGATCAGGCCTGGTAATGGTCAAGTACTGAAAAGCACCGGAAAGAGAGCGAAACAATGTAGGAGCTGGAAATAATTTTCCTTCGGTAGAGAGGTGTGCACCGACAACAAAGGGTGTTGAGATAGGCTTTGCATCAATCATCGAAGCACGCTGTAAGAGATCAAGAGCATACTTTGTTTGACTGAGAAATAAACATTTGTCATTATATTGAACTTCAACACTGAGAAAATAATGAAGATCACCCAAATCATTTATTGAGAATTCCTTGGAGAGCCGAGAAATGAGGTTTGAACCAAGGAATGATTACTGTTAGTAATAACCATATCGTCGACATAAAGAAGGAGATAAATCGTTCCAAGTGAGGAGTGGTAAATGAACAATGAGGAATCCGCCTGACTCGAGATAAAACCAAGGGTAATCATAAATGAGCTGAACTGATGAAACCAAGCTCGAGGAGCTTGTTTCAAACCATAAAGATCTCGCTTCAGGCGACAAACATGCTTAGGGAATTGTGGATCTATGTATCCCGGAGGTTGTTCCATATACATTTCTTCATTCAAAAAACCATGAAAAAATGCATTTTCAACATCTAACTGGTGTAAACACCATCCAAGCGTAATGACCAACGACAAAATAAGCCGAACAGTGGCAGGACGCACAACAGGGCTGAACGTATCTCCGAAATCAAGGCCGTGAATCTGAGAAAACCCTTGAGCGACCAAACGGGTCTTGTGGCGCTCAATAGACCCATCTGAGTGGAGTTTGGTTTTGAAAATCCAACGACATCCAACGACATTATGATTTTGTGGACGAGGGACAAGAATCCATGTATCATTGTTCTTCAAAGCTTGAATTTCATCATCCATAGCCGAGAGCCATTCAGGGTGTTTTGCTGCTGATTTAAAACCCCTAGGCTCTTTGAGAGCAAGAAGAGCCTGGAAAACTTGAGACGAAGACACAACATTCATAGCATGATATAGCCTTGGTTTGAATATACCAGCTTTACCTCTAGTAATCATTGGATGGCTGGAAGTGGTCACTTGAGGAGGCGGATGAATAGGTGGTGAAGGGGCTGCCAAATTCGATAAATTGTGACATGAGTAGAAATATCTGAATTTGGGGAACTATCCGATGATATAGGCTGCAGAGAATCACTACAAGGCAAATATAGTGAAATGGAAATCGAAGGTGAAGAATCAACATTAGAAGAATTAAAGACGCAATCATGACATTCTGAAAATTTAGTATAATCAATATGAGTCAGATCATGCATAGAGTCACCGTGATAAGAGAACTTATGCTCATAAAATTGCACATGTCGGGAAATATAAACACGATTTGTCTTGCGATCTAGACACCTATTCCCTTTATGAATAGTACTATAACCTAGGAAAACACAAGGAGTGGATTTCAGAGATAATTTATTAGGTGAGTAGTCACGCAAATAAGGAAAACAAAGACAACCAAAGGTGCGCAACATAGAGTAATCTGGTGACTGACGTAAGGAGTTTTGCCATCAAGAGACGGTGATGGAAGTCGGTTAATGAGAAAAACGGCAGTGCATAAAGCTTCAACCTATAAAGAGAGCGGTACATTGGCATGAAACATAAGGGTTATACCAGTTTCGGTCACATGACGGTGTTTGCGTTCTGCAATACCATTTTGACTAGGAGTGTAAGGGCAAGACAAACGAAGCACAATACCACAATAGTGAAAATGAGAGCGAAATTTATTATTTGTAAACTCGGCTCCACCATCACACTAAAAATGATTTAATTTTGGTGGAAAATTGTGTCTTAATATATTTTTGTAAGCGAACGAAAGTTTCAAAAAATTCAGATTTTTGTTTTAGTGGGAATATCCAACTAAATCTGGTACAATCATCAATAAAGACCGCATAATATCTATATCCAGTAAAAAAGAACAGGCGAAGGACCCAATAAGTCGCAATGTAAACGATCAAAAGGCATGGCACAACGTTCATCATTAAGAGAAAAAGTTAAACGATGGCTTTTCCCAAGTCTACAACCAACACAAACGTTGGAATCATTACTCACGAGTTTATTACTGCAAAAAATAGATCCTAATCTAGAAAGAGATGCAACAATGCGATAATTGGGATGACCTAGACGAGCATGCCACAAATGAACAGAAGCTTGTGGTGAAGAAGTTGTGGTAGAAAAAAAAGCATGATGTCGTTGTTCCAAAATATAGAGACCATTTTCACATCTTCCGACTCCCAGTACCGTTCTTGTGACCTGATCCTGTATGGTAAAACCAGAGCAAGAAAAAATAACAAAACAATTATTTTCTTTAGTAAGTTGGCTGATGGAAGTGAGATTTTTCTTAATGCCAGAAACAACTAAGATGTTAGATAGGAAAAGGGGACTAGACGGAATAAGAGATGAAATGGAACCGGTATGAGAGATAGCTAAAGACTGACCATTTCCAACCATAACACGTTTATTACCAGAGTAGGTAGCTGATTGATCCAAACCGTCGACGTGACTTGTCATATGAGATGTTGCGCCCGAGTCTGGGAACCATTCAGAGTCATTTATATCTTGAAGTGAACATGCGGAAAGACTTTAGCAAGATTAGCCGATTGTTTCTTCTTAGTTTTCAAGAATGTCCAACAATGTTTAGCTGTATGTCCATCTTTGTCATACAACTGACAGTAAATCGGAGAAGTGGACGACTTTGGATTAGCACCGTTTGTCGAGAAAGAGAAATTTCGAGGTTTTCCTCGTTTCGCTCCTCCCATTTTCGGAACTTGCTTGCACATAATAAGAAGAATTGGAAACCGAGTGAGAAATAGATCTTTCAAAAATTTCATGACTCAAAGCTCTTCGAACAATCTCAGCAAAAGAGGGAATCGGATGCAATGACATCATAGTAGTTGAAAAGATCTTGTAGTCAGATCCTAATGCTCGTAGAAACCAATGGACTTTGTCGGTGTCATCAATGGGACGTCCAATGGAAGCCCATTGATCACAAAGACTTTTGAATGTGCGGAAAAACTCAGTAATGGACTGAGAGCCGCGTTGCATCAATTGGAATTCGTCCTTGAGTTGCAATTCACGGGTCTTTGATTGATTAGAGAAAGAGACTTCAAGAGCACGCCAAGCCTCACGGGAGTGACGTAAACCCAGTACCTCACTCATAGACTCTTCTGTAAGAGAAGAGTAGAGTAAATTGAGTAACATTTGATCAGTGTGTAGCCAAGAAGTATATGCTGGATTGGTTGTTATAGTGCCGTCTGCAGACGCAGTAGTCGTAGGCGAGGGAGCTGCAACGGTACCATCCAAAAAACCAAATAAATCTTGACTAGTTTAAAGAGAGCCAAACTGATTTTTCCACAATAAATAATTGGAGGAAGTCAGTTTTATGGTTAACATATGAACCATTGTATTAAGCGGAAGAGTGAGAAAGGATGAAGGTGAAGCAGCGATGGTGAAGTCAAAGAAAAAACTTTGGCCCTGATACCATAAAAGTGTTTAAGAGATACAATAAGATGTGCCAGGAAATCTCCTTACCAGTAAAGGGGAGATGATTTCAATATATAGAATAATTACAGAAGAGTGATATTCTACAAAATAGGAAAAAATATAT